ACTATGCCTGGTGTGATAACACCTTGAACAGCATGGTACTGGTCCTCTATGCTTGTTTTCCTTGGCATTGAGAAAGAGCCTGTTATTTTATGTGAAACTTTTTCTTAGAAAGTTTCTTCCTTGTTTCTATCACAGTATTTTACCAGAATACTATTGCTGTCTGATTACTTATACATCAGCCTTAAATTCTGTTGTTGCTACAATACAATTTACAGGCAAAATCATTTCAACATGTGTTGTGATGTCTACAATAGGCTCCAAATTTCTGTTTAGTATATATTGGAGAGACAGGACAGTATTTCTTTTGGATTTACATGAACAAAATATATGTCATAAAGTACAGCTTGATTTTGATATTGCATGCACCTGAGAAATGGCTTAATGGATAATTAGAGGGGGATTGTTTTCCAATCTGCTGCTCATTCCTAGAATTTTACATGCTGAAGTTGTAACTTGTGTCATATTTGAAATCATTTACTTTGGGATTGAAATACATCATACAGTTTGGTCTTCAGTTTGTCATAAGAGGCGACTAATGGGATCAGGCCTTCAAGCTCCCTGACTTGGTTGATGCATGTCATTCTATCCCAGTTGTGTTGGTCAGTGCTCATGTTGTTAATCACTAGATTGTCTGGTCCACACTCAGTTATTTACAGACCACTGTCATATAGCTGGAATGTTGCTGAGCTCGGCATTAAACAACAATGAAACATTTATGAAACGAAGTCTTTAATACTTTTTTAACTGCAGTCATTTCTTTTTTTAACCTACCATTCATAAATTTGGTGAAATTGCACTTGTCATGGCAATTTATCACATGTCAGACTGTCAGACTATCATGCTGCCCAGTTCAGTGATCAGAACTGAGGTCAGTAGTCATGCAGCAAGTCCTTGTCATTATGCTTACCCAGTACATTAAAAATGTAACAGTTGAAGGTTCCTGAATCTGAATACCACAGGATCAAGCCACAAGTACCCCACATCCCTCGTTAGTGTTGACAGCTACACTATGAGGAATAAAACCCAGTTCTTCTACTACCTACTCTGGCATTAGCAGAAACCAAATGGTATCTGGGACGGTATCTGTGTCAATTCAATGTGCCTGTGAGGTTTTAGACAGATAAAGATACCACCAGTCTCAGCTGATAGCTAGGGCAGCAACCCTGTGGGTGATGACATCACTCAAGCATAAACGCTTCTGCCTTATATCAGTGAAAGAAAAACTTTACCCAAGTAGCTGAGGTCATAGGGCACCCAACACAGATCAAAATATCTCCTGATTTAATCTTCCCACTAATTCATACTAAAACTGAATACTTTGTGCCTCAAACATCGACAGATCTGTGATAAAGAATTACTACCAGGACAATATTACCCTCAAGTGTACATAAACACATTCCTGGAAGATCATTTCTCTATGACTTGTGTGAAGGCTGGTGAGGATGGGGCCATGGTGCTGTATGATTTAGATGCAGTAGTCACAGGGTGTAGTCTAAATGAGGCATAGCTTCAGGAGTCCAGCTATCCTGCTATAGGTCTGGGAATTACCTGTAGCACTCTGTGAATGGGTCCTGCTCATTAGTCTAGCAACCTTTGGCCTGCCAGCATCTTCAGGCCAGGGCGCCAAGGATAAGCAGGGGGTGTCTGCCTTCATGGATAATAATGTGGCCTCGAAGTTGGCAAGGTGTGGTGCCATTAAGGACAAGGCTCGAGGACAGGTACATTCTGCACGTTTCATGCTCAGTTTGGTGTTAATGTTATGTAAACATATGATGACTGGTGTAATGTTATACAAGTTATAATGGTACAATATAGTTGTAGAGTAAACTGTTTGTTTGGGATGGGTATGGGATGCCTGTATTGTGCATTCTTATTGCTTTGTAGAATGATTCTTATTGACTGAACACAATCTGGTTTATTCTATTATTGTGAATATTTTGTAAAAAAATATTTGTTTAAATCATGAAAGTGGCTTATTTGAAGTATTTTATTAGTGTTAACTTTACATTTCTAACAATGTTCTCAGCCCTAAAATATAATCACTTGCGACACACTCTCAAATACTGTGTACACTGTACTGGTGCTTGACCTGTGACTGTGTTGTCATCACTTTCTTGATAGAAGTGTAGAATAAAATGAGGTAACTTTCTACATTTTGTGTTTGAAATCACTGAAAAAGTGTCATTATCATTCATCAGACTGAAGCCTGACTACCAAACTGATCAATCTTTGCTTGTAGCCTGTTGTATTTTCTAGAATTTATGTTGTGGTTGTTCTGATTATGGACATAATTTATATTATTGATCTTTGGAAAAAATGATTGATTAATAGATTATAATTTGATTAATCAGATCTGTATCACCTATAATGTGTGATGCTGATGATAAATTTCTGGAGTTTTCTGTCATTGTGTATTTATTTTCATAAAAATATATGTGACCATTCTGAAAGAGAAGTTTTTTTCCTGTTTCCTTATTGTACATTTCATACTAATCGAGCCAAACCTAGAATTGATTTATTTCCATTGTGCAAAAAAGAAACTTATTGCGTCAAACAGAAATACCACAAGAGCTTAAAAAAGTTAAATAAATAGCTTTCTCTACTAAGACAATGTTTCTCACAATTTCAATTCTTTTATCATTATCTTCACATAAGACCTGAATGAAGATAGCAGATGTAAACAGAGAGAATGGCTTTGAGAGCACACACACCACATGTTTACATTCATGTTCTGCAGAATAGCTTCTCAGTGTTGAAAGTACCTACCAAGCACCGTGCTCCATGTCTGTAATGGTTTACTTGAAATGAAGCAAATCATTGTAAGTGCCATCCAGTTCCTCCTCCCTCACAAACCTCCTCCCACCCACATGTAATCTCCCCCCTCCCAAGGATACAGCAATCACACTAACTGATGTTCCATGTAAGTTATGGGTGTGTCCCACTACACTGTAGTATTTAACACTCTAGTCTGTCTTCATCAGGTACACATCCTGGTGTTTGGTAATCAGAGAAGGAGGGAGGTGGCTGTGACATAACTAGGAGGAATAGGTGTACTTCAACATACTGCATTGAAGTATTCCTGTGAACATTCCAATTTGAGCTGTCAGTGTTTGAGGGGCAAGTTTAGCTTGACTTTGATGAGGTGTTGATGAGGAGGGCTGACTGAAGGACACACTTGAGTTGCTACTACTTGAAATATATTATGGCTGGTAAATGCTCATAATTTTTACCTTTGCTGTTTCATCAGAGTTCCACACCAAAACCTGGGGAGACAGAGACTCAAGTCAAGGAGACGAAGCCGGAGAGAGAAGCCAAGAAAAACAAGAAAACTAGTCAAGGTAGGTAATACTAGGTAGACTTGTTTCTATAAACTGACACCTAGTGGGATCAGACAAAGTGTCAGGTGAGAGTTCAGTTTACTCAAGATTTCTCAACTAAACAAAAGAATCCTTGGTATATATGTATCAATTTGTAATAACATCGCTTAGGCCAGATCAACTGTTTCCTTGTTTCTTAACTTGGGTTAAAACAAAAATGTTCATAAGATATGATTCCTCTACATTCTTTGAAAATGCAACATGTTCAATAGATGCGCATTCCACAGGTTAATAGCATGAGCAGCAATCAACACCAGTGAAATATAATTACAATCAGCCAAACCACACACTATGACCACCTAATCCACTGTATATTTTCACCTGCCCCGATCTCAGAAATTCACAGAGCCAGACAGAATATCCTAATAGCTTACATAAATTATTCTCATAAAATATGAGTACATTGTATAGTTTTTCTTCATTCAGAACTTGGGCACAATGTGTGAAGCTCATTTCTGGTGTCCCCTGCCTTGATGTTGCTGGAATATTGCTTAAAGTAGTGTAAAACCATACTAGGTCACTCACTCATTCAGACCTAGATATGTTTCTTATAAACTTTCTTACCCAAAAATCAGTCAGAAATTAATAGTTGGGATTATGTTAAAAATTCATTAGAGATGAGGCTGCTTCTGGTTGAAATTAACAATGGGTTTGCATTCTTGGCTTATCCATGTGGTGCTTAATTAGGATGTGAAAATTGGAAGATGTTTTTCATTACAGTAGTGAGGCTAATAAGTTCAAGAAGATTTACCTCCCTTTGCAGTGCCAGAAATATTCATGACAAGAAGACACTTGTACATCGACTGCAACTTGAATTAATAATAAACCATATACAAGGGGCATTCAAAAAGTAGTCAGCCTTATTATATTCTCGATGTCCAATGATTGAAAAGCTTCCATTTTATTTTGAAGTAATCATTAGCAAAGCCATATCCAAAATTTCACATATGTGGGTAATGTGGTTAACAAGATATTAGGCATCACAACACATTGGGGTATAATATTTCTTTAAAAATTGCAGAAAATGAAAAATGGTACCTCTTGGATAATGGTATGATATATATGATATTTATAATATCCTATAAAATATATTCAGTATAGTATTGGATGACTTCCCGTGATAATCAACATTCAAAGATTTGGATTGCTTGATTTATATTTAGACAGGGGCTGTTTTGGTTTTTTAAGGACACCCCCATTTTCATCTTTCAAAATCATTGTGTCCAGATATTCAAGCTGGCACTGTTTACAGTATATTGAGAGCTGACACTTGTGTTACCATTCAGTATTTAGTTTGAACCCTTGGCATCATCTATGAATAAGTGAAAACATTAGAATAAGTTATGTCCTTATGATTACGTCATCTGAAAGGGGATGGGTAGTGTCTCCAAAACAAGCTCTTTCAGAAAACATGAAGGGGGTGGTCACTTTGCAAGTGATTGTAGTTTCAAATTTGTGATGCATTTAGCATGTTTCTTGCACATTTTGCAGATTTTGTGATGTTTTTGGGGTTTTGTGTTTGGGGGTACCAAGATAAAAAGTGAAACAAAATGGGGATCATGAGGCTGGAACATAGCAAAACCAGTTTGCTTGAGGTTGACAGAAAATATGTAGACAAAAAAACAGATGCATTGTATATTTTTCTAGGTGAGGCTGACTACTTTTTAAACGCCCCTCGTACTTTGTGGTCTCTGCTATGCTGAATCAAAGATGCCTTCAGCAAATATATTTATGGAGGCTAAAGATGTCTTTAGATATCATACCTCATTTAATAGTGAAACTAGTATTCCATTCAGTGTGAGGCACTATTCTGTGTCGATGTATTGATAATGTTGTGACAGGTTTATTAAAGAAGTTCTTATCATGAAACAGTAAACTTAGTGTTCACATCTGTCTGGAGCAGATAGCTGAAGGCAGGTAAATGATGGTTTGTTGGTATATGGTAACATGCTGCTACTGACTCCATGTCTTGATGTAGTAGTCAGGCATCACATGGAACTTGCTGATACACACACAGGTAACAGCTCTTTCAAACAGTTTAGAAATGTACACAGTATTCTTGCATCAGTAAACATTAAAAACATATTTCTTTATTTGCATGTAAGTTTGGGTTCTAATTACTGTCTAAAACTGTAGGGTTTGAGTGAGTGAGTGAGTTGAGTTTTACGCTGCACTCAGCAATATTCCAGCTATATGGCGGCGGTCCTGTAGGGTTTGAATGCACAGCATGCTGATTGTGCAAGTAGCTGTAGAACGTATAGTATTCTTATGTAATAACTCACTCAGAGAACTGTTTGAAACCAAATATATTCTTAAAAGGTTCTGTATAGTTCTGTACATCACACGATTTCATGTATCAAAATAATCTCACCTTCTGGATATTCAAGCATAGATTGCACCTTTTGCAGTCAACTGATGTTTTATCTGGCTCAAACTATCAGGTGGTCTTGAAATGGCCTTGATATTGCACGGACAAGGTTTTACACTATGTGAAGCCCATTTCTGGTGTCCCCCACTGATATTGCTGGAATATTGCTAAAAGCGGCGTGTAACGAAACAAACTCTCACTAACTCGGTTATTTACTACGTTAAGGTTTGTGTCATGTTACTGGAAGATTGTTGAGTGATTCTTTAAATAACACACTTACACTCGCACACAAAAACACACATGCACATGCACAAACACACGTGCACACCCACATTAGTGAGTTGTTGGGTGATTCACTAACTGTGTAAACAGTTGATCAGCTCACTGGTGTAAGAGGAGCTTATGTAATACCTTGCAAAACATGAGTGCTATAACTCTCAAACTAAACTACCTACCTAAGTGTTTTCATGCTCGTGTTGAGGCTTTTGTGATTCCGGATGTGTTTATTAGCCTTGATATTGAGATAATATATCGGCTACCCTGAAGAGACAGCTGTATCATATGCATGTGACAAGGTATGTTCTATGAAGGTGATGGTCACATACTATCACACTTTGTCAAGAACATCTACAATCTATCTGAACATGTATGGACGAAAGTGCAAGAGGAAAATGCCGAATTCCAGCAATATTTGATAGGACTCCCAATGTTTGCAGGTTCCAGATGACTACCTGACACACAAACAAGGAGGTAAACTAGTATCCTATAAGCATTGGTATCAAGGTAAAGTACATGCTTCATTCCTTACGTTTCCAGGTGACACTGGGCAGACACCTGAAAAGAACAAGGACAGGTCTATGGAGAAAACAACATTAGTCATATCAGATTCTCCAAAGGGAACCAGTTCCAAGGCATCAGAGAAGAAACCCCAGGTACATGTACAGATGTTTACAGATGTATTACCAACTTACAACAGTCTTTTGTGTTTGAGGAATATGTCTCTTTATATGCTGGGGAAATTGGGAAAAAAGAGATCCAAATTCTTTCATTTTTCCTTATCCTGACTCATGTATTTTTGCTTGTCTCCTTTCTCTTGCGCACGTTAGTGGAACACTTGTATCTCCTTTTTGAAGCTCCCTTCAATAAAACAGATGTAAAATCACTACTCCCCACAAGTTATCTCTCTCGCCGTTTTGGCGGGAAAACGGCGCCACCCGTCTTCCAACGCTTCACTCTCTCCTTCTTCACCCTAGTGGACGGTTGGGAGAGCACCTGTGTCTCCAATACGGCACTATATCCTTTGATTATTTATTTATAGGGGTTTAGGGAGTATCCTTCAACAATATGGTTTGAAATTTATTCGTGATTTTTTGACTGTTTTATTCACGGTTTTGTGCATTGATTGTTCAGTTGTTTACATTTCATGAAAACCTGTTTCTAGCTGCACAACAACATGTACTTCCAGCTCTCGCTGTAATCTTTATCAGCATTTAACAGAAATTTAATTTCATAAATAATTTTCTCTGTACTTAGGGTGCTAAGCGACAATCCAGGCGACTTTTACAGAGTCATGGATAAACCGGCTGAGTCCCTCATGAGGCTGTCTACTGCTGTCAGGCGGGCACTTACTTCCATCCAGTGACCTGCGGTGTCCTCGGAGGATGGGCGCTCGATGTTGTCCGCCATTACTTCAAGAAGGGCTTCTACATCGGACAACCCTCAATGCAGACGAAGAAGAAGAAGCCATCCTCTACGCAGAATGAAGCCTCACACCCTTAAGACGTCTTGCAGCTCTACAGGGACTTCTGCGCAGACTACGAGGACCTTTCGGCCGACATCGTCCCGATGGAAGAGAGATGACTTCATGATGAGCCGCTGCTGATCATCCCAGAGATACAGCACGCAGTCCGAGTTACCATCTACACTGGCGGCAGATGAGCGATCCCTGGGCCATATCGCTACCAGCGCAGAGAGGGCAGCTCTACAATCATCGCAGACGTTCAACCCAGGGCCTTCATGCAGCAGTTCTCTCAGCAGATAATGGAGATGATGGAGAAGCGCTTCCCGCAGGAAGAGCATCGCATGATGGACAGCCACAGGGCTCTCATGCTCAAGTCATCACCCGCAGAGACGACCTAGACCTGCACGAAGGACAACACTGACGATACATCGGAGAGGCCCTCCAGCCAAGCTAGCTCCAGGATCAAGAGCAGATCTACGCTACATGATGTCAAGGAAGAGAATGCAGCACTCACGTACCTACTCTACAGGACATCAACGAGCCTGCGCGAAGGAAGAGACATTCATCCGACCGAGATACATCGTCATCTGATGATGAGACTAATGAAGAGCATTTGCGCAGGCCATCTAGCAACGAGAGACGTCCTCAGGACTCAGATGCTCAACAGACCTCTCTCTACTCGCGCGCCAAGGTCTTCGCAGGACGAAAGCCTTCATGAAGGAGAAATAGACATTCCCGGACCTAATTTGGCGTCATAAAAGCAGACCTATGCTACATGGCGTCAGCAACCTGCCCGCAGGGCGGCGCGCAATCTTCAGAGACCGTCAGCAGATGATGAGCCTAATAAAGGACCTTCACGCTAGGCTACCTTACAACACCTTAGAAGGGACTAGAGAGACGTCTCGGACTCAGACCCTCAACAAAAATTCTCACCTGCGCCGAAGGTCATCTGAGTTATCTTCAAGGGCGCCAACAACACCTGCGCAGATCATCACGGGATTCACCACTTAGGAATACATTGCCAGGGAAGGCAATCCCGACTAGGGGAAGCTCACCTACATGCAGATCGCCATACAGACAGCACCATCGACCGCCACGCAGATCGATCGCAGATCTCCAAGGATATTCAACCATCATATACCAGTGGACATGCGATGGCGGTATCATCATTTTCTGACTGGACCTAAGCGTCACCCTAGAAGGGAAAGATCTTCACCGTAGCAAAGACTGAGGGACATGTATTAAAGTTCAAGAGGGGTACTCTTGTCCGAATTCATCTCCGGCGCGGACCTTCAGACTGAATCCAGGACGGGATTCACATAGATAGATATATCTACATCAGAAGAAAATAATGGGACTCATGGCCATATAGAGATCTTCACTTCCGTACAGATCTGCAGATATTCACAGTGGCGTAGTTCAGCAGCAGCCTTGCTAAGGCTAGGAAACTACAAAATCATCAACGACTCCCTGGGTAGAATTTACAACAAAGTTCAGCATCAACTCTACAATTATGACGCTTCATTGAGATCGATGTATGCAGTCTATAAATAGCAGCACTGAGGACGTGAAGACTTCAGCTGATCATCTGTATAAAAGGACGACTGCATTATCTTCAGGACTGAAGTAACAGTCACAGCAGCCAGGAAAACAGCCTACCTACATCGGTATTACGAGGCAAAATATTTCGCACGTTTACCATTCAACCCTCGATGCGTGGTCACTTTCGTGTAACTCGAAGGCTATGGACAAGACCGAGTGTTGATAAGATATCAGCGGCGCACTAGATTCTACAAGGACCTTTTTCCCGCTACACCGTGGCGTCACATGGCGGGAAGCCAAAGGAATCAAAATGCTTTATTTTGATTGGACCATGAGAGACAATGCCCTCGCGCCTTAGAAGGTCGGACGTGTAGTTCACATGTCAGGAAATGGGTTACAAGTGACAACAACCTGTCAACGAGAGGAAGGCCTCAATTACAGTCCAGTTAGATGGGACCTGCGTTGATTGGACTGCCTTCATCGGGTTAGAAGACCTTCCCTGTCACCATTGAAGAGCGCATTCATCAGATTTTAATTGCAGCAACATCGTTGGACAGACTTTTGGGTGACGGCAGCCAGACTACTTTATATAGACTTCTAACGATGGCAGTCACAGAGTCGGACATCGCTTCATTTCCCTTACGACGCGGCAAGGGTTTCCACACGATCTAGATACAAGCCATTGTATTTCCAAAGCACTACTCTCTCGTTATTACTCTGAAGTGGCAGAGTCTGTTGGGTCTTCTCACATCAGCACAGGACATGACACGCAGAGGTAGTCTACAACTACTTTACTACAGGTCTTCGTGGAATGTACATCTGACGATCCGGACCCCTTCGACTCCGTTGACAGACTAAAACCATATCTAATATGGTGGACTCAGAGATCCGAATGGTTGCAGAAGCACCTATTTAGCAGAGGCGAGTGCAAGACTAGCATCTCTATGTGGACGCATCTCTCAAAGGTTGGGAGCACACCTCGACAACTAAGTGTCAGCTGGGATATGGACCAAAGAAGAGAAAGATCTGCACATCAACATGCTGGAAATGAAAGCAGTGATAAACGCATACTCCACTGGACCAGCATTTGAAGAATGCTTTCATCTGACGGTACATACAGTCAACTCCACAGTGGCGCTCTACATAAACAGAAGGATCAACAAGGTCGGGCGAACCCTTCTGGACCTCTGCTTTCAACTGTTCAGCATAACAGACAACCTGAACATCCACATAAGAGCATGCCACATTCCAGGAGCCAAGAATGTGATAGCAGACACACTATCCCGTCCAGCGCCAGCCATCCCCAACAGAATGGATGCTACATCCTCAGATCTTCAAGCAGATCATACACCAAGAGATGGAGCCACTAATAGACCTCTTCGCCACAAGATTCAACAATCAACTGATAATATTAGATCTCACCAATACCAGATCCACGAGCATGGGCAACGGGCGCTTCTAAGCATCTCCTGGGAAGGACTAAGCGGCAAGCATTTCCACCACCAGCTCTAATACCAAGGGTGTTGCAGAAAATCAGTCAGACGGCTGGACCTACAACTGATTTTGGTCACGCCTTACTGGCCAGCGAATATGGTTCCCCATTCTCATACAAGAACTAGGACCGCCTCAACTGCAACTACCAGAGTGGACGAATCTGCTAGTACATCCTCACACAAAGCAGGCATGACGGCAACCCAGAGGTGTTCGGCTACACGCGTGGACTGTATCAGCAAGCGTGCTTGAACAAGAGAGATATTCCGCCAGGGCAGCGAAAGCAGTCACACTAGCTCTCTCACGCCAGAAGTCTACACGTGTAACTTGTACGCGACAGTTACAAGCGAAGCTTCGGAGGAACGGTGACATACGCTTTGAGGACCGGCTTCACAGCCATAAAAGCGACAATACCCCTCAAGTGGCGGACTACCTTTGTCACCTAAGACAAACGGCGGTTAAAGGTCAACACTCTCAACATACCGAGCGGCATTGAGCTCAGTTATCAACATGAGGACGAGTGCAAACTGGCGAAAGTACCAGAGTTACTGGCCTTACTACGCTCTTTTTAAACTGAGGAGGACCAACAACAGAGATTTAAAGCTCCGGTGGGACCTCAACATAGTTTTACGACATCTCACCAGTGACGCCTCTACGAACCATTAGATAGGACATCTTTTGAGTTCTTGACGCAGAAGACTGCTGTTCCTAATGCGCCCTTAGCAACAGCAGCAAGGATGTCGGAAATACATGCTCTGGACTTTGAGAGAACACGATTTGATGAAAATCAAAACATTGTGCATATAGGACTGAGATGGGACTTCATAGCAAAGAATCAACTGCCAGGTCAACCGGACAGACAGTTCCACATCCCAGCACTATCATCAGTCCTTGGACCACAGGATACGCAGGACCTATCCTTGTGCCCAGTAAGAGCATTGAAAGTCAACCTACAAAGATCCAGGACCAGGAGACGGAAATTCAAGCGTTTTTTCGTCCCGATGTCAACAGCGACACAGACGGAGGTCTCCCGCACTACGATATCAATCTGGATCAGATCTGTCGTACTACAGGCCTACAAAGCAGCAGGACTTGATCCTCCAAGAGCCTCCAACCCACACGCAGTTAGAGCTCTGCGTCATGCTAACACTGCTTCTACATGGGAATTGCTCTATCAGGACGATAATGATGGGCTGCTTCTGGAAATCGGACATGGTGTTTGCCAACCATTACCTGAGGGACATCGCCACCGCAGGACGCGTCTCGGCATTCACCATTTTGACGCCCACTTGTTGTCGCACAACAATTGACAGTCCCTCAAAGGCACTGAGACGGAGTCTCGCCCTTTTATCACATGACTTGCAAAAGCCTACACTCAGGAGAGTTCAGCTTTAGAGTCTATATGCATGTCTAGGACAGACTAGCATAAGTGATATGACCCAGTACTTGTAAGGATACTCGTGACAGGAAAGGGTCGCTTCTCCACTTGATGCTCGCATCAAGAGATGGAGTTGCAAAATCCACATAAAATGTTAACAGAAGCAAGGACCAAAAGTTAACAATTGTGGTCCCCCCATCAGAGAAAGCTGGAAGTAAAGGGTTACAGCAGCAGCAGGGCCTAGCAGTAAAATAGAAGTGCCAACAAGAAGTTCTATAGGGGTATACAAGATGTAAATCACTACATGGAATCCAGAAGTGGCTTGACCCACCACCAACCGTGACGGATTCTGCAAGCAAAATACATGAGTCAGGATAAGGGAAAAATATGTAATTTTCTGAATAAAATTGATATTTTATACTTATCCTGACTCATGAGGTAAGCTCCTCCCAATCTCTTCGCCAGACACTTTGGATTTCCCTGTAAATTAAAGTGTCGGGCTAGTAATTCGGAGAGAGTGAAGGCGTGGGAAGACGGGTGGCGCTGCTTTTCCGCCAAAGCGGCGAGGGAGATAACTGCGTGGTGAGTAGTGATTTTACATCTGTTTTATTGAAGGGAGCTTCAAAAAGGAAATACAAGTGTTCCACTAACGTTCGCAAGAGGAAGGAGACAAGCAAAAATACATGAGTCAGGATAAGTATAAAATATCAATTTTATTCAGAAAATTACATTTTGCAACTTCAAATTCCATTTTTTAAATATACATGGGGATAGAACTACCATACACCCATGGGCTCAGCATTCAGTACAGCCAGGCTTGGAATCTAACTATGCATGGTTGTTCATCTTATTGAATGATGCTTCCCTTTGATAGGGCTTGTTGAATGATGTTTTTCCTTAGAATAGATTTAATGGATCTTGTTAAGTAATGCTCTTTGTCATAATAATAATAATAATACTTTATTACCTCGAAATCAATTCATTTTGCATCAATACAGAGTTCTTGTACAAAGGAAATATAGGACAAGCAACACCACAAGTAACAAATGATACATAAAACAAACGCACCTGACATACATACATGTATCTTTAACAATCATTTAAAAGACGAATGCTGAAAGGAATGAATGTGTTTTGACCTCTATTGGTTTTAAAAGACAGCAATAAATATCTCCTTCCAGAAGGAAGCTTATAGATAATTTCAAAACTCTTTTGTCATAAAGATACAACAGATTTTTAAACTCCTGCTATTTTACCTGCGATTAAAACAACTTTTTCTAAACGAGATTTGTTAACCAGAGATAAGGAGCCATACCAACATTGGAACGAAAAATGTTAAAACGCTTTCAAAGAAACAATGATAAAAGAGGGATAATACACATTTATTTACGTTAAAAGATTGCATCTTGCACAGGAAATGTAATCTCTGTTGACATTTTTTTAAAACAGCATCTGTATTAGCATTCCATTTCAATTTACTGTCTATAATTGTGCCAAGCTATTTATAATCATGGACAATGTCCACATCATCACCATTGATACACACAGGACTTGGAATACTTTGATTGTTCCTGAAATTCATAATAAGTTCTTTTGCAGTGGATTTGATGGATCTTTTGACTGTGCTATTTTCTATGATCGATCTTATCGCTTATGTTAATTCATTCTCTTTGTGTGATGTTTGAATTTGATCTGATTAAATGATACTTCTTTCATAAATGCCATCAAAAGCACTGCTTGAAACTGAAAATATCTGTGAAGTAATAATTGCATTTGAGTTAACATGCACAAATATTGTATGTTACGAAAATAGTTCTCATGAACACTCGTCAATCAATACAAGAAGGTACTAACATTGATATAGAGAACTAAAGCAAGTCTACTTCTGGCATCAATGACAGCAGATGTAGCTGAGTACCATCAATACAGGATGAAGCCGGCTGTAAAAACATAAACGCCCTCACTTACTCTTTCACCTGTTGCCATTTCCTGAATCGCTGTTTAAAACCAGAGCTGTTTCAGGCGTCAAGTTTGTTTACATAGGCAGGTTAAGGTAAAATCCTCAAGTGCACACCTCTAGAATCTGCATATTTCCAAGGACAATCAGCATTGTAAAGACTGACTGACTGAGTTTGGTTTTACACCGCTGTTAGCAATATTCCAGCAACATCACGGCGGGGGACACCAGAAATGGGCTTCACACATTGTACCCATGTGGGGATTCGAACCCGGGTCTTCGGCGTGACGAGCCAACGCTTTAACCACTAGGCTACCCCACCGCCCATCAGTATTGTAAAGAACAGCATAATATTAGTTTAGTGTGATCATAGCGATAAAATACTGGTGTTGTCTTTAGAGGATGTTGTTGTAGACACCCTTGCTAAAAAAGTCAGGTTGCTCTTGTCTATGACATTTATATATCAGATGAATGTTAATATACATGTCATACTAATGTGATTAACCATTAGGTGAATATATTTGTTTTTGTCCAGTTATGGTAAATTCAGTTATTTTAACTCATCTTATTTTGATAGTTATTTTTTAGTTGCCAGTTCTGTATGTTAGTCTGTGATGTTCTACCTTATGATGTTTCGCAATATGTTTATACTGCAGATGGTTGTGAATCTATTCAGAGAATCTCTAATCTCCGGCACAAGAAATGATCCTTGTTGTAATTCTAATTGTGGACATTTATGATTTGGGTTTTGGTTTGAGTAAACCAACATAATTTTCAATGAATACTCATAAATTCGATTTTAAAGCCAATTTGCATCCTTATACAGTGTATGGACAGACTAAACAATTTATAGTACAAATATGAATACATAGACAGACTGTTTACAGTTTATTGTTGTGGAATTTGAGACAATAAATAAACTCACAGTTTGTCTGTGTGGAAGTTTGTCAGCAAATATTACGCCCTAATTGAACAAGTATAGTTTTCCTTAGGCTCTGATTCTCCCTTCTCAATGGGGTTCCTTTTCAATTTAAAAGAAAATGTTTCTTTCTTTCAAATATATATATATTTAGAGACTTTTGTCTACCAGAAAAGCTACAGTGTGGGAGTATTTTCCATTTTTTTTCATAATATTCTTGCACATGATGTATAGTTTTCAATTCTTCCAAACATAATTATGCTTTGTTGCATTGGATACTGAAAACATCCAAATGTTTTACTTATGTGCTGCTCTGTTGTCATCTGCTAATGTTAATGAAACATGCAAAGTGGACAGGTTTGGGCATCAAGCACACTAATGCGTGTTATTGGGGGCCAAACCTATATCTGGAGAGAAAAATGCAAAATGTCATCTCATGTTTCAGTCACCTTAGAGCTTTAGTTTGCAGAAAGTAAAAAATATGAGTTAGGTGAGATTAACCCCCAGCCTACTTCTGAGGTTGTACATTAGCATGCTTTATCTCTATACAAACATAGTTACAAATTCTCCGACACACATGGATGTGACATTATTATCAGTGCATTTATCTTGCAGTCTCAACTACTGAAGAAATATGTGGAGTACCTGCATGTATCCTCTAGCAAACACAGCACCTGCAAAAACACTGACCTGGCCTTCTTAAATTATTGTAGCATTTGACCTGTTTACCTTTGATGTAAGTGTTTTATTTCGTCACTGAATGAAACATCACATGTTTCAGACAAGAGCTGAAGAATCGCTTGTGGTGCCAAACAGTCCAGAGAATGGTCTGGTGGAAGAACCTCGCCTTTCTCCTAAGGCTTCCCCCAAATCCAAGCCACCATCTAGACTGGCTAAACTGAGACAGGTACGTCAGTGTGTATGTTTCTGGTGTGAAGCAGTGATCTGCCGCCTTGTGGGGAGGGAGAATCCCTCATCTGTTACTCTGCTGGGGAGAGGAATCTCTCATCTGTTGCGCTGTAGGGGAGAGGCTGTCACTGCTTACCCAAAGGAGATGGGTGGTACATTCTGACAGATAACGTCATGCAAGACTTAAACAAGAGATGTGCTTTAGGCTCTGAACATACTTCACTGTTTACATTCCCTCTTCCATACATTTACTGCTTGGATTCTTGGGGATTGGATCCATTCCAGCTTCTTTATAAATTTCCATCACTGTTGCAACATGGAAAATAGACATGTCATCAGAATATCACAGATGAGTTGAATGCCAGCTTCTTTGATGTTTGCTCTTTTTCTAGTTATGCAACAGATTTGATGGTTTGTAGTCACAGTTGCCTCATTATGCATATGCAGCCACAGATATACCCTCATGAGGAAAATTGAAAAGAGCCTCCCAACTAATGTTCTGTCAGTGAAAAACTACACTGTATGAATGCTGGTATTGTTGATTTCTGTTTTGAATTATATATCATATATCTGAACTCATTGTCTGCTCTTCAGTCAGAGCTTTACACTGATATTGTTACTCATTGCATCAAGTAGAGCCACATGCAGCCCCAATAAGGTTACAATTATTCTATAAGGGAACCCTCAATGGGATGTACATAGGTTGCTATAGTTGAGATGGGTATGAGAATGGAATCAGGGTGATTGTTTTATTATATAATGGCTTCAGCTGGTGCATGTCTCTAAAGAAATGATTATTTGTTTGAAACATAATTCCTAGATTAAAAAATAATCGGAATAAGAGTTCTAAGAGACTAGTATCCTCGTCTTATCTAGACTTGCGAATTATGAGGATAGAATTCCTATGTACATCCATGGCTCTATCATTCACTACAGCCTTGGAGAAAGGCTTTAACTACCTATGCCCTTTGGCCTGTAAGACAAAGGGTCACGTGACTAATGTCTGGGAAAGAGATGGCAGGTAACAGAAATGTACAGCTGTCATACCCATATTACCTAGAAATTTTCATTTTCCTGTGTCATCGGCAAGAACCCCAATTGCGATATGAAGCACTTTATGATAATCATTTCTTCAAGGATTATTTTATATCTATATTTCATTTATGAATGACTTTCTCCTGCTTATTTGTTACTTTTAACCAAACTGCTAACAAACAAGCAAATCAGTGTTGAAGCTGTGTGTTAGGGGATAAAGCTCCACAAATCCCACATATATCCACTCATGTCCCTGCTCCAACTGTGTCACCTTGGAGCCAAGGGGCAGCTGAAAACATGATGTTCAGGGTAAAGAAGTGATTTGTGTTTGTCATTTACAGTTGTAAAAGAACAAGGCTGTGGTATCTGGTATACTGCAATTTAGTCATTTAATATTCCATGCTGGCATCCAGTTTATTGTTAAGACATTAGGTTGTTTGTTGTTTAATGCCACACTCAGGAACATTCCATCCGATCTGGAGATAATTTAGTCTAACAGATAATCCAAGGATTGACATTATTAGCATTGAGCTACACAATTAGGATACGATAACCACCCAACTCACTGAGCCTGACTACCTTCCTGTTAGTTGAGTCTTGAGACAAGCAGTGTTGCCTTGTATGACATGGTCTCTTAAAGAAACAACACTTATATTTAGATTAGTATAAACAATGTTACTAACACTTACAATGGTGACAATAAGTCTACATGGTGACTGATTCTCGCTTTCCTTTTTATACACACAAAATATGGTACATCTAGATATTTTCTAACAGTTTGCAAGTTCCTGTTGCCATGGTGGCCTTATTCTGAGGATGTAGTCTACAGCATCAATCTCACCCTTCCAGGTGGGCCCGTATTGTTTTTACTTCTATTTTTACTCAGTCGTCTAAATAGTGTGGAAGAATCATTCAGTTCCTGTAGCGGTGGATTATTGTCAGGTAGGTATTGGAGAACTGTAAGTGAATACTAAAGCCTCTTGTAGGCTCTGCTTATTGTCACAAATGTATTCCCATCTGACAAAGGGTCAGGCTCCATCTTGAATTATGATCTATCATTTACATGACCGATTTCATTATTGTTTCATTATATACAGATTCTAATTGTGGCATATACATTTTTTTCATCCTTTACGGTATATGGGTGTAGATTATGTTTTCAGTGGTTTATTCTTGTCATAACAGCAGCTGAAACTGAGATTTTGTAGATGCATAATGTGACTTGGGCATTATTCCACAATGCTTTCAATGAGCTAAGATGGTTGTAGCTCCTATACCTTAACATGGGCTCAGGTAGTCATAGCACTTTGATTACTTTGTCGAACAAGGGCCCCATCCACAAAGTGTTCGTAGTGTTATAAGCTGTCGTAACTATATAGTCTATTATAAGCCTACAAATATTGTAGTTGTTCAGATGGATTGTGGATCAGGCCTCCCAGCCCGGTCTGATCATTGCACCCTAAAGATGTGGATTCATTGCTTGTTCTGTCAGCTGCTGCTTTTTCCTGGCTGACCTAGACTAACGCTTAGTCACTGAATATATATAGTTTTGATAGTAACCCTTAATCCCATTTAAATTGAAAAAAAAGAGTAGACTTGCTTCATTTGGGTCTTTAGCAATGCTGGGAGGGCTAGGCATGAGGGAAAATAATGTGGTTCAGGGACTGTGAGACAGACTATGGCGGACCCTCTGTACCTGTACCAACAATACAGAGACAACCATTGAATTTGATAGTTTCATAGTTGTGACCATTATTCACAGGCTGCTGTCATACAACTGACTTCAGCATCATTCTTCATTATCATTAGTGATTCAGATTACCAGGGAGTCTGCTTATTGACCCAGAAATAACCCATTAGCCCTTCTTTTCTTATCAATATGGGACCCCTGCCTCTATATTTCCTACACATGTCCTTTCATTTTCGCAGGTCACAAGTCACTGTAGTTAACACTTCTCATTATGGCTACTATCTATACATGAAAGTATAGTTTCTTCAGCAAACATCTGGTCAGCATATCCCAGATGCATTGATTGATGCTCATGATGTCAATCATTGGATTGTCTGGCCCAGACTCAGTTATATACAGATCTCTTTCATATATTTGTATTATTGCTGAGTGTTGTGTCTGGCCCAGACTCAGTTCTATACAGATCTCTTTCATATATTTGTATTATTGTAGTGTTGTGTCTGGGAGTCAGTTCTATACAGATCTGGCTATCAGACTCATATATTTGTATTATTGCTGAGTGTTGTGTCTATACAGATCAGTTCTATCATATCATATTTGTATTATTGCTGAGTGTTGTGTCTGGCCCAGAGTCAGTTCTATACAGATCTCTATCATATATTTGTATTATTGCTGAGTGTTGTGTCTGGCCCAGAGTCAGTTCTATACAGATCTCTATCATATATTTGTATTATTGCTGAGTGTTGTGTCTGGCCCAGAGTCAGTTCTATACAGATCTCTATCATATATTTGTATTATTGCTGAGTGTTGTGTCTGGCCCAGAGTCAGTTCTATACAGATCTCTATCATATATTTGTATTATTGCTGAGTGTTGTGTCTGGCCCAGACTCAGTTCTATACAGATCTCTCTATCATATATTTGTATTATTGCTGAGTGTTGTGTCTGGCCCAGAGTCAGTCTCTATACAGATCTCTAGAGTCATATACAGATCTCTGTATTATTGCTGAGTGTTGTGTCTGGCCCAGACTCAGTTCTATACAGATCTCTATCATATATTTGTATTATTGCTGAGTGTTGTGTCTGGCAGATCAGTTCTATCATCTCTTTCATATATTTGTATTATTGCTGAGTGTTGTGTCTGGCCCAGACTCAGTTCTATACAGATCTATTTGTATTATTGATCAGTTCTATACAGATCTCTATATATATTTGTATTATTGCTGAGTGTTGTGTCTGGCCCAGATATTTGTATTATTGCTCAGTTCTATACAGATCTCTATCATATATTTGTATTATTGCTGAGTGTTGTGTCTGGCCCAGACTCAGTTCTATACAGATCTCTTTCATATATTTGTATTATTGCTGAGTGTTGTGTCTGGCTGGCCAGTCAGTTCTCAGATCTCTTTCATATATTTGTATTATTGCTGAGTGTTGTGTCTGGCCCAGACTCAGTTCTACAGATATCATATATTTGTATTATTGCTGAGTGTCTCTTTCATATATTTGTATCATATATTTGTATTATTGCTGAGTGTTGTGTCTGGCCCAGAGTCAGTTCTATACAGATCTCTATCATATATTTGTATTATTGCTGAGTGTTGTGTCTGGCCCAGAGTCAGTTCTATACAGATCTCTATCATATATTTGTATTATTGCTGAGTGTTGTGTCTGGCCCAGACTCAGTTCTATACAGATCTCTTTCATATATTTGTATTATTGCTGAGTGTTGTGTCTGGCCCATCAGTTCTATACAGATCTCTATCATATATTTGTATTATTGCTGAGTGTTGTGTCTGGCCCAGACTCAGTTCTATACAGATCTCTATCATATATTTGTATTATTGCTGAGTGTGTGTCTGTGTCTCAGCCTATACAGACTCAGTTCTATACCCAGATCTCTATCATATATTTGTATTATTGCTGAGTGTTGTGTCTGTGTCTCTCTTTCATATATTTGGCCCAGATATTTGTATTGCTTGAGTGTTGTGTCTGGCAGAGTCAGTTCTATACAGATCTCTATCATATATTTGTATTATTGCTGAGTGTTGTGTCTGGCCCAGACTCAGTTCTATACAGATCTCTATCATATATTTGTATTATTGCTGAGTGTTGTGTCTGGCCCAGACTCAGTTCTATACAGATCTCTATCATATATTTGTATTATTGCTGAGTGTTGTGTCTGGCCCAGACTCAGTTCTATACAGATCTCTATCATATATTTGTATTATTGCTTGAGTGTTGTGTCTGGCCCAGACTCAGTTCTATACAGATCTCTATCATATATTTGTATTATTGCTGAGTGTTGTGTCTGGCCCAGACTCAGTTCTATACAGATCTCTATCATATATTTGTATTATTGCTGAGAGTGTTGTGTCTGGCCCAGACTCAGTTCTATACAGATCTCTGGCCCAGAAGTCATATATTTGTATTATTGCTGAGTGTTGTGTCTGGCCCAGAGTCAGTTCTATACAGATCTCTATCATATATTTGTATTATTGCTGAGTGTTGTGTCTGGGCCCAGACTCAGTTCTATACAGATCTCTATCATATATTTGTATTATTGCTGAGTGTTGTGTCTGGCCCAGACTCAGTTATATACAGATCTCTATCATATATTTGTATTATTGCTGAGTGTTGTGTCTCACAGTACCAACAACAAAAATATATCAAAATAACTTCTATTTAAACTTGATGAGGGAACATGCATACTTTCTACGAAGAAACATAGAGCACATCATTGAGTGAATAAGTAAGGTTTTAAACTGCTTATAACAATATTCCAGCCATATCACAGCCCAACAGAAATGTGCTCCACACATAATAACCATGTCAGGAATCAAACCCAGATCATGACAAGAAATAACCACTTGGCTGCCCCACACAGCAATGATTAGACACAAGCTAGAAAGGTTTCATTTTTTGTCTTATCGCCGAGAAAAAGCAGTTTCAAGTAGTTAATCAACTAATCAACGGCAGAAGGTACAACCTGAGAGTAGAGTTGTCACACTCTCTCCAGAGATTCAGGCATCAGTGCTCTCATTAACTCTCTACAGGAAACATATACTCCCACAAATTACTACAGCTCATACCACAACCATTAAAACTTCTCTGGACTGTATGTAATTCAACTGAGATTTCTGATGTATATCCTTACTTTTAGCAGACTGACCACTTAGTGTATTTGTTGTCCCTATAACCTCTCCAAAAAGGATCATGTTTTTACATGGATTTAGAGACTGAGGCCACAGGTTTACTACATGTGAACGGAATACACGCTTCAGGCAAGTTAAAAATATCTGTTCATGACTGGTTGAGGGACCTTGTCTTAATCTTCACTGTGGTCTAATTCCTATGAACTTAAAAACTGCTCTGAGTCACATGATGAAACATGTTCAGGCACTTGAGCGACCTCTAAGAAAGTGAATTAACAGTGAATATATTTAGTGAAAGGACCTTTGAAAGTCAGAGACAGCTTTCCTTCAGAAGAACAAGAAATGGGTATTAAAGCTGAACTCTGTCAGAAATATTTTCTTTTTAAAAATATCTTGTTATAATCATTTTATACATCGGATAAAAAATACATCCATTAGTCTTGGCTTCAACATGTCAGTACTTTTATGTAGACTTTTAAATAGAATTACCTGAAATCCTTCCTTTGTTCTTATTACAAAGGTATATATTTACCCACATGGTCAAATGGGAACCTTTTCAAATTTCAGTTAGTAGCATGTTGCAAAATCACATTGTTTCTACAGTAAACAGAAAATCTGTTTCTTTGTTGACCCAACCCCTCTGCACATACTGTGTGTGTATGTTGAAGTAATTTCAGTAACTCAATCCATCTGCAGTTCCTACTCTGATCAGTATGAACCATAGTGACAGGGAGAATTTACTGTTACAGCACAAAGGGGCATCTAGCAGACATTTAGACACATATCAGTGCAACCCTGGCTAGAGCCTCCTACAACCTTGTCCAGACACGAATACCAGAGCAGTTTCAGTGATTACTGTAATCTGATCAAAGGGAGCTAATTCTTACAGAAGAGATCTTCTTTTGATATTGATGTTACTAAACTGTCCTATCAGATTTCTTCAAAGAGAAATATGTCTGTACTGTTCAATACAAAGTACCTTAAAGGTTGATTTGACTGGCAGGCTCTTGATTGATGGAATTAGTGTTTGCAAATTTATCTAATCTGTTTGTTGTGATCTAGAAATTCTAGCTTATAACACTTTTCTTATTTGAACTTGAAATGTGATTCCAGTTTATGTATTTTGGATCGTTACTGATCACATTACAGTTCAGTAATGTTCATTAGCGTTCCTTGTTCCATTGATAATGACCATATTCTTAATATCTGTAATAATTTGGTAAGATCTATTCAATTCCCAGAAATAGCATCTTTCAGTGATTAATCCCTAGTGTGTGTTGGTAGAATTGGTCCAAAGCCACCTATACTTAATGGATCAAAGGCCTGATTCACACAATGTTTGTAGCACTATGTAGTTCGTAAGCCTATTACTTTCTTACTAACTTACTTACTTATTTAATTACTTAATTACCTACTTCGGTAGGGCAGCAACAAAGGATCGCCACTCTTGTCTGTTCTGGGCTAGGTGCTGAATTGTATCCCAGGTGTGGTTTATAGTCTTCAGTTCAATCTCCACTGTTCATCGCCAGGTGTTCTTTGGCCTTCCTTGCTTCTGTCGTCCTTTTGGGGTCCAGTGTAAAGCAGTGCGTATAATATTGCTGGGCTCCTTCCAGAGAATATGGCCAATCCACCTCTATCTTCTTCCATCGTAAGCCTATGATAAAGTATAAAGTTATGATAGGTCGTAACTTTCCGAACACTTTGTTGATTGGGACCCTTGTAGTCAGACTAAGTGACTTGGTTGCTTATGATATCAATCTTTGGATCATCTGATCCAGGCTTGATTATTGAAAGTCCGGTATCATACAACTGGATTATCATGGAATGCTGCCTGTAAAACAAACCCAACCAAACAAAACACTAGTGCAGTGCATTTCTTTTCTGTTCCATGTAAACATCAGTCTAATTAGAGTCTCTCTTGATCTTTTGATTGAATTCAAGTGACAGAATATTTCTTAAAACAGCAAAACATTCCTTCAGATATTTATGGCAAAGGGGCTGGAATTGAC